TATCCATTCCAGACTTAATTTAATTTGTATCGACCCCAATTTTATAGATTTTTGCATGCTTAATTATAAGGCAGAATGTACACGGTTCAATGAAAACTATTCCATCTGTAATTTGATGTACCTACATTCATAGCAAATAAACTATTATTATTATTATTATTATTAAAGGCCAATGGCGATAGACAGAGATCACAAACTTAAATCTCGTGTAAAAAGAATGGACGAACAGTTTTGCATTTTACACTTAGAAGTACGGCATTAATTACCAGCGCTATAATAATTTTCAGTTGGCATAAAAGAGGATGTCCTATGGGGTCAACAATTTGATTATTACATTTATACATAGTACTTAATGTCCTAAAAATATTTTTCTTAAAGCAGTCTTATACAGCTAGTATTAAGGAAGAAAAGTGAGTAGGTATACATATATTTTGATAGTTGGATAGTTTACAAATTGACCCCATATTATTATTATCATTAAAAAAATTATAAAAAAAATTAGACATCCTCGTAAATCGCGTAAATTACTCTCTCGCGACTTTTGTAAGAGCAAGCACGTACAATTTACTTTAAAAACACTCTTATCTCGTTATATTTTAAAGAGAAAATTGAGTATAGCTAGCCATCACTACGATCAAGGCACTTAACTATATCCTCTAAAAACCGTTAAAATATGTTCCTAGTTATATTATTGAGTAATTAAAAATATTATGGTTAAAACCTAGCTTAGCTTGCAGGAGCGACATCCTAGATGGCTTTATATCCCTCTAAGATCCAAAAAAGACAGTTAAAAAGAGATCAGAATTAAGAAACCACGAACCTTCCTTTTTTAATCTTAATTTATTTTTACCACTTAAGGCCGGTACATTTTGCAAACATAGGTACTATGACACAGCGTATATTTCAAAGAAAGAGATAGTTATCTTATCAGTCAAAAATTTCTATTTGTTGATCACTCACGTAATTAAAGAGCTAGAAATTTGTTTTTTTTTTAACGCAAGGCGAAAAATAAATGAATGTGCTCTAGTTTTTAAATAATAGGTACTCTCGCATTGAGAATGATTGAAGAAACGGACACAAAGAATACCCAGAGTCAAATAGTAAAGTATTACCAAGACTAGCAGCTAACCGATTCAATTTTCGGTTACAATACGATATAATCACATTACAGTCAACGTTGGGTGTTTAATACTTTTCTACGAAAGTACCTTTTATAACAGTTGTGAGATCGAAGTTTGATCGGAACTGAATTGAGACCAAACTTTTATTACGAGAATTGGCCTTCGGAGATATGCCATGGATAACTTGCTGTCAAATACTTATTACCTATTTACTGAATGTGAATCGAAAATACGGCGTAGAAAACCTAAACCAATTTGGGAACTCTTAGTGTAATAAATTTGTTATATAATTTTTTTTGTTTTTTTTTTTTTAATTTGTTGATGTGATGTCATGTGAAATCAAAACAAAGTGATGAATGACGAAAAGACAAAACAAATTGTACGATTGGGAATTTAAGCACCTTAACATGGAACGATATTATGGTATCATATTCCATGAATTAAAAGTCATTAGGTATTATTAAGTTGGGTAGAGAGAAAGAGAAACAATAAACATTAATGGTTGGGCCAGACAGCTGGTGAGACGGGATGACATCCTGGCGTAAGTAGCTTTTAGTGTTGTACCTAATATTTCAGCCTTTTCATCTTTTTCAAAAAGATTAATTCGCATACAGTTGTCCATATGAGGTTTCATTGGTAAATTAAATTCGAAACAAAAACCTTGAATCTTTACTAACATAATCATCATAAATAAATGAACTTGAAAAATATAATGACAATCCATCACAAATAATACAGTTCCAAATGGCTATCATGTTTTCCATTTATAAAAAAAAAAATTAGCTTGGCAGTTGAGGGCTGGTGAATTACTTTATTCTTCAGTAACAAGAAATAATCACCTCCAGTGTATCTGTTACGTTTAGTCAATGTAACAACTGAGACAAGGAAAACGTATTATAACAAAATAATAATATGTTACACAAACTCAAAAGCTTTTTAAATCTTCTTCATTAAAGTAATACTTATAATAAATGTTTAATTCATAATCTACACCTCTTGTCTCAGCTATTCAATATTTGCTTATTTACAAATTGGCCTAATTAATAAAGCCAATAACTGTTCAATATTATCTAAAAAAACTGAGAAATTAAGATTGTAATACAAATCATGGTGGCAACTTTCGTTACCTACCTGTTTGCAAATTTCCATTTAACCAAACATTAAGAACTTTAACCTATTTTAAGGGTACAGAATGGGGTAGATTCCTATGTTTAAAAAAATATATTTCACCTGCTTCGTTGAATGTAAAATGTTAAAGTAGAGACTGAATTGTCCTCCATTATCAATTAAATCTTTTTATTGATTTGATATCTTGATATCAACATTAAATATCAATGATTTGACAATAGCTAATCGAGTTGGGGGTTGATATTTTGCTTACAGAAAGGTTACATTATTATAAGCACTCATGCAAAGTTACAACATGCGGAGACGCGTAGTTTTAGTGTTTTTTTTTATTGAAAATCAATTATTTTTGCAATATTTTTGTCAAAACCTATAGAGAATTCTCGCCATTGAACGTTTCGTTTAACCTACGGTTAAGTTGTCCTACGTTCGGTAACATTTTATTTACATTATACGTGAATAATTGTATTTTGTACTCATTTCAATAGTTTGCATACACACATATACTTAACAGTTTATATACAGGGTGGCGCAATAGAACGTGCATATTGCATCATCTTTTTTCGCGGGGTAGAAAGTGCGCGGGCGGGGGGAGCCTGCATCGTTGGGTAGGCGGGCTCATGGAGTTTTAGTCACTATGAGTCACTTCGACGGGAAGCGTCGCGCATTTTGCGTGCGCGCATTTTACGAGAACTCTCGTTCATACATCGTTACTAGGCGTTTATATTGTTCTGAATATGGACTACGGCAAATTAGTAAAGCTCCGAGTGCTAATTTAATTAAAATATGGGTACAGCGTTTTGAAGAGACTGGTTCAACGTTTAAACCACAAGCAAAAGGTTGTCCAAGAACATCTAGGACCGACGACAATATTGAGAGAGTTATGCAGTCTGTACGAGGAGATCCACAAATGTCTACTCGTAAGAGATCGTCTGTCTTACACTTATCGCGACGAAGTTTGCAACGAACTTTAAACTTGGATCTTAAACTGCATCCTTACAAGCTGCAGTTAACACAAGAATTGAAAGAGTCTGACTTCGGAGCAAGGCTCGCATTTGCTAATGAAATGCTTAATCGATTTTCCAATTTTGACAATATCCTTTTCTCAGATGAGGCCCACTTCCATATCAATGGGTTCGTAAATCGCAATCTCTGGTAGAGGAATAATTGGACCGTTTTTCTTTGAAAATGCGCGGGGGCAAAACGTCACTGTTAATACCGAACGCTATGTTGCGATGTTGGAAGGTTTTTTGGCTCCAGAGCTTGAAAATTCAAGAATAGTGAATTCTAGGACTTGGTTTCAACAAGACGGAGCTACCTGTCACACATCAAATGACTCCATGGCGGTTGTGAAACAGATGTTCCCTGGCAGACTGATTTCGAAAAGAGGTGATATCCCATGGCCCCCACGTAGTCCAGACGTGACGCCTCCTGACTTTTTTTTGTGGGGATACCTCAAGAACAAAGTCTACAGTAATAATCCGAAAAACAACGATCAGCTCAAGGAGAATATCCGTGGTGAAATGGCAGCAATTACACCAGCATTACTGAAGAAAGTTTTCAATAACTTCCGTTTGCGATTAGAGGAGTGTCGTCGTAGAGAGGGTCATCATTTAGACGATGTTATTTTTAAAAAATAAACTTCAGTTATTTCTTAATAATACCTCAGTTTTATTTTAACTATACCTTTTGTATTTATTTTCTAATCAATATTTTAAATATGCACGTTCTATTGCGCCACCCTGTACTTGTTTTAACACCTATCTTTAACTCTTATCTGCCCTAATAGGTACTATAAGGGAAGATAACAAATAAAATAGGTTAGGTTCAACTTATGTCAAAGAACCGAATTGATTGACCCGATATTTTTTGTGATGAACGGGGTTCCGGGAGGGGCTTTCGCTCCAAGGGGTCCGCCCTTGTTTTAAACACTTATTTTTAATTCGAATCCATAAAATGAGGAAAATTTCCTCAATTTAAAAAATTAAAAAAACCTCGAAAAGGGGGGCTCCGCGACTTTCCTTTTAAGGGGCGGTAGTAAAACCCCCCACCCCACTGCCTCCCTTCAATTCGACGGACGGCAATGGAAAGTCATTTACCCTATTCTATGAGTATTATAATTTACTTTAAAAAAAGTATTCCTAACTTTAAAGGGCACAAATCATGATGACTTGAAAGAAATTAAAATTAATTTTCCACATCCAAATTTGCACCAAAAAGGCAATATTAAGTATTTATACTCTTTTAAATATATAAAAAAAAAAAATAGTTTTTAAATGAGAGAGTTATTGAGGTAAACAAGTAAAAAAAATACAACAATCAAGAGGCGGTAGCCTAGTGATTAAGGCTTTGGACTTGTGATCAAGAGTTTGTGGGTTCAAATCCTACCACTACTACAATCCAGTACACTACCAACATGAACCCACTTCTAACACAAGCAATCTAGCTTAGCGGGATGGGTTATTGGGAATACTAGTAATTTTGGGTTGCTAGTAGACCTTTTATAAAAAACAATCTAATTAATAACATCCCTTCTTGTTCAGAAGTCAGTTAAAATGATGGTAGTTTTACCAGATATTTACGCTAGAAGTGACAGTATGTAAAGTTAACATAAGATTGAGTTTGGTTTGTGTAAGTTGACTGGTGATTATTTCTTGTTTGACTAGCACTTACAACTACTAACTTGCCATTATAATCTCTTTATAGTTTCTTATAAATAAAGAATATTCAACATTAATATTATAATTTATAAATTCATAACATGTCTCTAACCGATTCACTGCTTGTTTTCTCCCAAATCTTTCCAGATCTGTACAACCTATAAATTTTGTTACTTACTATATTCGGCCCAAATTTTGCCATGGCAGCTTCGAATTTGTGTTGCAACATTTTCATTTGTGTTTCATTGTAGCCAGCACCGCTGGAATTGAACACTTTAGGATCCCTACATGCTGTGTACTTGTGGGCTCCTAACACTTCCAAAGGAAGTTCTTTTGTACTCAAGGTGAGGCTAAATATATCTTCATAAATCACCATACTGTCAAGGTTTCTTACATAAATAGGACTCATATTCTGTGGTATTATGTAATAATGAGTTTTTTTCATCATTTCTGGATATCCAACTTCAACTTCCTCATCATCAGCTTGATTTAAGCAGAATAAAAGTGGTTTCAACTGCAATGTTCTGATTCTTCTCGTTGGGTCGAAATCATTAAATATTTCTTTTATGTTATTATGGATTCGGGGTACTAGGAATTCATCCCAAGACATAACAATAGCATGACTGGCTTTCTCTGTTTCTTCTTTATCCAATCTAAAGTGTCGGAATAAGCAATCTAATTCAATAGCATTCCGTACAATATTATATGACTTTGCAAATAGAAACGGATAATTCAAAGGGAAGAATTGTATATTCCACTGTGTAATATCCGAAGGTACTAAATTCAATCTTCGAATTATATCTTCAGAGATCATACTGTCATATATGGTGAAGTATTTGACGCCCATCATGTGGTGGAAGACAAGGAACTCTATGAAGGCATCTCGTGATACTAATGGTATTTGATTAGGTATTACACAAATAGCTGGTTCAATATTGTTTACAAACTTTATATTAGCAGTTCTTCTAGGTTTCCTCTTTGTGTTTACTTGAATCACTCTGATTATTGGTGCATGTATTGGGTTGATATTATAATCATTAACATAGAAGCTCACTCCTTTTGGTTTACCCAAATTTTTACTCAAAGAACACTGGAATATGTACAACGTGAAATCATTTACAGGTTCTGAGATTGTTTTGTGTGTAAAGCGTCCTGCTTTAGGTGTGTTGGAACCCTCCATCCAGATATTGCAACGAAAGTTAGGTGTAATTTGCGCTTTGCCAATAACAATAGTATCTATAATGTGAGCATGAGATTGCGTTAATTTCTCATACTTTTGGTACGACCTTAGAAAGGAGGAATATGAATAGAAGTTATCATCAATCTGTTGAAACAGTGGAGGTGTCTCACGAACTTCCATTGACGAGTTCCTAAGTATTTCTGACAACATTGTAGCATTATAACCAGGACCACAAAATTCTATTTCCGACAGACCCGGTTTTCCAAAGAAATTCAATACTTCCAACACATACCTCAGCCTGTAGTACTCGTGGCGATATATGAGTAATGTTACAACGCTCAAAAAGCATATGATGACGAGTAAAAGTTGATAATATTTCCTCATTGTGGTGGTCCCTGAAGAACTTCGAGGTTTCTTCATTTAATCACCGGCATCTTAAACGTTAAAATATTGTTATTATTCCGATATGGGAAAACACAAAATATAGTGAACAATTAAGTAGGAACCAACCTATTCATGAATAAATGCAGAATAACACTGAATATCTAGGTTTGTTTAAAATGCAATTTTACAGCATTGCAGTGACAGAGATTGTGATGAATGAATATTTTACTATAATTCATTCATCACTTTATCTAAAATAATTCTTACAGAATGAATACTTGAATGAACTGGCCTAGAATTGAAAACTGTCACTGTCTCTATCACTGTCAACAAGACAGGTATACAGTGCTGCCAACAGTTAAATGAACTCTTCACCAGATTCAACATCTCAAACCACCAGAAAACCACTAACGAAAAATGAAAAAAAAAGTTTTTTTTTTGTAATTATGTCATCTTTACTCATATTCTTTACTCCTTCTCCTAGCATTCTCCTTCCAACATCTATCCACAGCGTATTTATAACATAGCAGATCGATTTAAACACCAGGTTGCAATTAGAAGATAATTATTTGTATTTATTAATAACATAAAAAGGAAGTTTAATTTTAAAATGATTTTGTTTTACAACAAATGACAGGACTGCCAAACGTAAAAAACGAAAAAGCCAGCCAGCCACTTTGGATCGTAGAGTTGTGTTAAGGTTCCAAATTCACAACAGATTAAATGTCGAAGTCCCTTGGCCCCTTGAGCATCTATGAAGAGCAACACCCATAGTATGTGAAAGTTCCTTAACACGTAGGGCATTAATGGACAACAACGTTTATCATCCTGGATTACATCCTCGAAGTTATAGTTTTTATAGAAATTAATAATTAGTGTAAAAAACAAGGGGGGACACCTTGGAGCAGAACGGAGGAATACCCCCTCCATCAGAAAAAAATAGAGGGCCTGATTCAGATAGATCTCTCCTCTCTTCCTCCCCTCCGCAGCTGCGGATTTTTGAAAACTTCTTTCTCAACTTTGAAACTTTTCTTCTCTCTAGCACAAAGCCCACAATAGTTCATTGCCCAAAATTAACAATCAGTATCTTCCTATTAAATTTAAATTTAAATTAACTTCTATCCAATCCCCATCCTTCCTTTCGTATTCTTGTTCTAGAGGTTTTCTTACACAAACAGTTTTCACAGTTCATCTTTCAACAGCATTTCCTAAGTAATCTACAATCTTACTATTACCACTAAACCACAAAAAAACCCTACTAGAAACTAAAATCAATATTTCGTCACTAAAAGAGCTTTTCCACCAGTTTTAGTGGAAAATCCACTAGGTTGGCAACACTACATGTACGGAGGAAATATTGTTTTTATGTTGGTATGTTAGTAGAGATGGGCGACTGATGATAACAAGACTTCAAGTTAATTTACCTATTAATTTACATAACCTGCGCTTGGCCGTACTTGGTCAGGTAATAATGAGAGTCTGGGTTTCCGCGTGGGAGAAGAAAGTCGTGGAACGGAAGAGCCACGAGGTGATTGTGCAGCTGGTTGTAAACATATCATTCATATGTGCTTAGTTCAGGTTCCATACTGATTACAATGTTTACTTTATATATATTTTTTTATTATTTTAAATATTTAATCTGAGTTTCGTGTGATGCTTTTGGGTTAGGTATAGATTTGTGTAGAAAAGTGCAAATAATGAAGTTTGTATGTATGTTGAGTTATGCATGGTTGTAGGCAAAATTCTACTTCATCTGTGCAGGCACAATATGGTATAATATGGTCAAAACCCCAAGTGAATCAATTAGTTTTTCCTCTCTAGCACGAAAGGAGTGCTTTTGCTGTTGCGTAACTTGTCCAATTTTTGACCTGAGGAATCGCCGAATGGCAAGTAACTACCGCCGTTCATTGACATCTTCAATTCCAGAAACACAAGTGTGTTGCCATTATGTGTGGCCCCCATATGTTCTGTATAAGGGTGCCGTTTGGGCCGCAGGTAACCTTACTCAATCGAAATTGCTTATACACCGGTGTTCTGTGAGGTCGTGGTATGACTCCGGTCTAGCTGGGCTATGTGTACCTACTGAAGTATGGCACTCCCACTCTATGTGTATTGAATAAAAGAGGATTTTGGAGCATGTAACATCATACTTCGACCCTTATTGGTAGAACAGTGACTATTTAAATTAAAATCTTGGTATATTTATGTGTTTATTTTTTTTTATGTTTTTGAGGTTTTAAACCGATAGTTCATAGTAAGTTTAAAATTTGATGTATCATTCTTCGATCTCTAATCAATTTTGATCACGTTACATTTTAACCCAGATCATTGAAATTTCACGGGCTTATTAGTGAATTTGTGTTTAAAGAAGCTGGTGAGTGTATCACCAGTTTCTTTAAACAAACGTTGTCAAATATCTGCTACCGAAATTCAGATTGATACGGCCCAACAAAACCTCGAGCTTCCCGATGACTACAGGTTTGGATGGTTTGATGTTAATAATAAATACACTAATATGATTGTTTATTTTGATTAATAATTAAGGATTGGACTGATTAATAAGGCTCAAAATATTTGTACGTTGAAATCTTAGAAACGAGTCCCTTATTCAAATGTGTGTGATTAGGTATACCTATTTTCATATGAGCATGTGTTAAAAGCGCTGAAAGTGAAATAAAATTTTGGTCAAAGAATGAAATTTCGAGGAACTACCCTTAATTAGTACAATAAAATGTAGTGGTTATTTTGTTATGTCAATCATCAGTATTCACCGCACTATTTTTTTTTTCTTATGAGTTTAAGTTTATACCGAAGTTGTTAATAACTTGTAAAACTTAAACGTTATGTAATACATAGCATTCAAATTAAATTGCGTCACTGAATTTACAGTTCTATGCAATTAGTGATAAAACTCTGTTTTTCATTTCAATTTTGGACATCACTATCGTGTTGTCAATTCTGCCAAAATTGCAAAACAAAACGAAAACCGAGCAAGTCATCGGTGTTTTTATGGACCACACTCTGTAGTTGAGTAGAAAATAAAATAAATTCTAAATATGTCGACTAATAAGGAGGAGACTTTGAGGCAGTTTTGCGATGTAACGGGTGCCGACGAGTCTCGTAGCAAGTTCTTTTTGGAGTCGTCAAACTGGCAGTTAGACGTAAGTCCCTACTTGACTTGTTTCGTTACCTTTTTATTGTTTTTTTCCGTCATAACAACACAACTTCTCTTCTATAATATTTTAATTATTATTTCTTTAAAAATCTTTAAAAAGATTCATATTTGAGTAGGTACTTCTTAAGATTTTTATTTAAAATAGATTTTTTAATGATAATTGTTAATAAATCTAATAAGATTCTTAAAAAATATAAACATTTTGTTGAGTAGTGTTAATTTGGTATAACGTGAGGTTAAGCAGGTTAGTTGATGTCTTAAGTTAAATTTGTTCAGAATATAGTGCTGCAAAAAGAAACTTGTTAAAACTAGGTCATTTATGTTTTTAGGTAGCTTTGTCAAGTTTTTATGAGCACGGCGGTAACGCAGACGAAGCACCTGCAGCCAATCCAAACGCAGCAGTATCATCATTACCTTCTCTCTCAGATAGTGATATGGATTCTCTCCCAGGATCCCCTTTACAAACTCAGAAGAAAGATAAAAAGAAGGTTTCTACTTCAAAGTTTGCAACGCTCGATACTTTGCAACAAGACAGTTCTTCTAGTGACGAGGAAGAAGGTGAATATTTATTTTTTATTTTAGCATACTTTGGAGATGGGTTTCATAAGGAGGAGATTTTGAAGCAGTTTTGCAATGTAATGGGTGCCAACGAGTCTCGTAGCAAGTTTTTTTGGTTTTGAGAATATTGCATTTTAAATTATTGTGCTATCTTCAAACAATATTTGGTGTGAAAATTAATAATTTAGTAAGAAACTACACTCAGGTGACTAGACATCGAACAAAATTACAGTGAACTGCGATTTTATCATTCAATTATTGCTGACATAGGTTAGGGTTCCTACTTATGGGTTTACCAATGCCTACAGATTAGATAAAAGATAATTAGCAGTATTGCCTCAAACCACTATGGTAAAAATGTAGGCAATCAGTAAAGCCATATCCTAGTTAACAACCCTTAATTCATGAACAATTCTAAAAGTATGTCTAAAAGACTACCATTCAATATTTGTAGTCAATTTAATTAATTCTTATGTTGAGTTACTAAGCTGTGTATGTGCTGTAAGTGATAACTAGACTATCTCCTGACCAGATTATGCTAGGTAATAGATGACCAGGTTTTCAGGATTCACCATAGAAATTAAAAAAAAAAAGAAATGGGCCGACAATCATTTTAGCAATTCTTTGGATTTTCTAGAACATTACTCTGTGTTAGATTGGTGCTGCCTTTCTATAAAAGATTATTAACATCTCAATTGGTGGTCCTCAACATAACTACCACTACTAACTAATTATCTGTTGTGCTGTATATTTACTTAATAAAATAGTGAAACTTAGTGCTATACAAACTTTTAATAAACTTATGGTGTTTGTATATATGTTTGTTTGAGAAAAATCTTTCTAGAGTCAATTTGAAATCTTAAGCAGTTAACTGATTATGCTGAAGTTTTGCATACATATTTAGTTTGGATGACAGTAAAAAACTATCTACTAGAAGATACGAGTAGTAACATGTTGTTAAGAGTTTTTTATTTTTATTTAACAATATGTGAATGTGGATAAGGCTAATGGATGATCAAAGTTAACTGATTATGCTGAAGTTTTGCACACATATTTAGTTTGGATGACAGTAAAAAACTATCTACTAGAAGATATGAGTAGTAACATGTTGTTAAGAGTTTTTTATTTTTATTTAACAATATGTGAATGTGGATAAGGCTAATGGATGATCAATATTCAGAAACTCATCATCTGCCTACCCTTTTCCCAATTTTATTTGGGGTCGGCGCAGTATGTATGATTTTTCCATTCTACTCTGTCATGCGTCATCTCACTGTTTACTCCCTTGCTAGCCATATCCTCCCTCACGCAGTCCATCCACCTTTTCTTCGGTCTGCCTCTTCTCTTATACCCTTCAACTCTCATACCTAAAACTTTCTTCGCCACATTTTCCTCATCCCTCCGCATGACATGTCCATCATCATGATCAATATTCAGAAACTATTTATGTTAAAATTGATATCTATACTAATATTATAAAGCTGAAAGGTTTGTAAGTTTGTTTGTTTGTTTGAACGCGCTAATCTCAGGAACTACTGGTCCGATTTGAAAAATTCTTTCAGTGTTAGATAGCCCATTTATCGAGGAAGGCTATAGGCTATATATCATCACACTAAGACCAATAGGAGCGGAGCACCAATGAAGAATGTTTCAAAAACGGAGAAAATTTATTACTATTGAGATACGCAGACGAAGTTGCGCGGGTCAGCTAGTAAATAATAATCTAATAGTTATCTAAAATTACAATCAAGTACTTTTTTTTTATACACCCTAACATTATTTAAATAAAAGTTTTTCTTTTAATCACATTTTTTGTTGATGCAAATGGCCAGAAAAAAACTTTTCCGAATGATAATGATAAAAAAGTTCTTTTGAGTTTTTCAAATGTGTTTAAAATTTAAAAAAGATTTCTACAACTTGTGCTCCTTCTGCAACTATGTGCATCCTAGCATTTGCTATAATAGTAATGAATCTTGGAATACAACACCTACGAATCTTTAATAATAAGTTCTTATTAGGCCTGTAGGCAGGCATAATACTACTACTACTAAACAAAAAAAAAAAAAACTCCACTCTTGTTTTTTTAATGACAACAGTAATGTTTAGGATAAGCATAGCATTCATAAAATAAAAATCACGTCACTCAGTCTAGTGTACATTAAGCAAACAAGAGGTCTATATTATAAATTGATGTGCCGATGTTATAAAATCAATTTTTTGTATTTAATGTTGATGTTCAAACATTGTATGTTAATAAACATAAATGTCTATCCCAAAATCCATGACAGATCTATCAAATCATCTTTAATGTTACTAAAATTATTCCTCATATATTGCATTTTATCACATAATTGTCATTAAGTAGCTTATAGATGGCTTTTAGCTAAAAGTTTGGTCTTGGGGTGAACTAAAACAGTCTGTATTCTTTTTTGTATTTATTTTCCATATTCTAGTACCATTAACAATGGAAGCTACTAAGGTTAAACCTCAACAATCTTACTCGTTATTGTGTTGCGAATGGATTTCAAAGCAAATTCAAGTCATTGTCCAAGATTTCTTTTGTAATGAAGAAACCAGTTGCCCAAAAAATGTTGATGATCAACATAGCAAACCAGAAGCTTCTTCTAAAAAAGCGGTTGGAATTGATGTGGCGTCCTCAGACGATAGTGGAACTAAACAAGAGCTTGAGAACATGAAAAATGAAATTGAAAGATTGTTATGTGAGAATTGTAAGTTGAGGGAAGAGATTGCAAGACTAAAAGGACAAAATGATAATGCTAGTCAGAGTCAGACGCAGTCAGGTCTGTGACAGTTTGATGATGTAGTTTGTTGATTTATATGAAAAATGGTATCCTAAAGGAATAAAAAATGTAGGATGAAGTTCAAGGTTTTCGTGATATTTATTAAAAAAAATATAAATTATGGATGTTTTAAAACTAAATTTGTGTACAGGATGTTTATTAGCAGTTCTCAGACTGTTTAATAATTTTGCAGCCCTGGCAAAAGTAGGCCATTTAAGATTATTCTCACAGTGAGTAGGAAGATATTTTAGATTGGAAATGGAATGATTGAGCAGAAGCCCGCAGCAGAAAATAATTATTATGGAAAATAGTGACGGCATCATCAAGCCACGCAGTATGACCGATCAGATGCCAAGGCGGCGGGACTTGATCGATGCATTACTATTTTCTTAACGAGAATACGCTATAGTGTTTCTGTCGTCACTAAGGTTTCGTGCGGTATGCGAATGATATCACAAATATGTAGCAAAAAACCCCATGCCAACCATGTTGCCTGGGGTGTTAAAAACACCCCAGGCAACATGTAGGAGCTTATAGACCAAAGCAAAAATTGTTATCAGTAATACATATTTTGATGTTAGTTCAAAGAGTCAATTATACGTCCCTCCTACTACGTGTGTCCTTATGTAGCCTGTTGAAATTGTTCTTTTGTTATAGGACAAGCATTTTATGCTGGTGGCTCGGAGCGATCTGGTCAACAAATTATTGGTCCAGGAAAAGGAAGGAAGGATATTGTCACCGAGGTGTTCAAAAGTGTTAGAGAGTGAGTTTGGACCAATAGTTAGATTTCCTGTTTTAATGGTATAAGGGGGCAAACTAGCAGACGGGTCACCTGATGGTAAGCAACTACCGCCACCTATGAACACCTGCAACGCAAAAGTCCGTTGCTGCCCTTGGAGTACTTCCCGCTCGAGTCAGCGGGAGGGGGATTTGGGCTCCGGTAACCTTACTCACTCAGTGAAAGGCAACGAAAGAATTGCTTAATACCGGTTTTTTGTGAGGCCGTGGTATCACTCCGGTCGAGCCGGCCCATTCGTGCCGAAGCATGGATCTCCCACGGTAAATGCCTGAATTGTGCGACTCTGTTACAGCATTGACCAATATGTTAAAATTTCTTGTTGATGATAAATAAACAAAAATATTTCTAAAAAAGTAAATTGTACAACAAATAAGATGTTTTTAATTTTTTTTATGATACAGGTGGCAAATGAGCACCCAGGTTCCCTGATGGAAAGTGACTACCGCCGTCTATCAAAACCTGTAATTCAGCAGTCACAAGCATGTTGCCAGCCTGTGAAATTCCATTTCCTCTCATATTGACATAATAGTGCCAGCACTCATTGGAAACCATTATTGCTTTTACCTGGTTAAAAGAACATAGTCGCTTGTAATATGGATGAAAAACTTTAGACTCAATTTCTGTCTGTTAAACTTAATTATGACAACACCTGACTTTAAAGAATTTATATAAATATAAACTGGTAATTTGGTAATAATTATAATTTGTTTTAGTCCTTTTTGTATCTATTTGAAAATTAAACTATGAGATAGATCCTAGTTTATAAATTATCTTCATATATCTACAGAAACCACTGCTTACCCATGATCCAACTACATACTCACCTGGTCGTATACCAGGGGTCCACCGCATTTTAACTAGGTGTACCAGGGGAATTTATTTTCTGCTTGTGATCTACCTGTGTTGTTATAATATGTATGTTTATTTAAAGACGGGGAGCAGTAGTGTTTGAAGACGAGCCATCGTCTACAAGCAGAGGGCGTGCTGTGTTCAGCGGCGTCGGGTACAGACTTGGTAAGTGTATAATGGCGATGTGATAACTAATAATGCTGAAAAAAATAAAAATTCTGCTTATCTTCATCTTAATACTGTTTTTATATGAATTGAAACTTAAGTAAAGTTTTAAAGTTAAACATTAATTTAATTTTTAGTATTTAACAAAATAATAACTATGGTAAATATACATAACTTTTACAACTAGTATAATATATTTTGTTTTCCTAAGATGAACTTTGTTTTCAGGAGATGGCTCAGCAAAATTTTGTTAAGTATGTATTGTATTTGTGTTTAGGCGGCGTATGTTTATTGTGTAGATTCCCGTATAGTCTATTTCGTGTAAAGTTTTTATGTATTTATGAGTGTCTCTATGATTAATCAACTTAATCAAACAAATAGGTCAAACAGCAGATGACCATGAGCCTGTACCTACCGGGGAGCAACAAGCTGGTGGACAACAGGTAACTTATTCAAACTGTACAAATAATCTATTTTGAAAAGAAAATTAAAATATTTTTGAAAAGAAAATTTAAATAATCTTGTAGTGCCTCTAGTCAAACAATTTTTTTTTTCAATCTCTGCATAAAAAAAGACGTACAGCACACTTCACATGCATACTTCTCATCTAAATTAGACTTTACGGATTTTTTGTTTTATATATCATTAGTATGTCATTCACATTATTACATATTGTCATTTAAAAAAATATAAAACTATTTCAAGTTATATCTATTAAAGTTATTTCCAATTATCTGTATCTTTGTGGTGGAAACTGAAAACATTAATTATAAGACATTTGCCTAATTTGTCCTAACTACTTTGCAGCCAGACGCGGTACGTTCGGTCCGATTGCGGTTGTACCGGGAAGGGTTCACCGTTGACTCGGGACCTCTCCGTTCTTACACAGACCCTGACCACGCTGAGTTCCTCAACTGTATACGTAGTGGGTAAGGACCTCAACGCTTGATTGTAACTATTAATATATTAAAGTAAGGAAATCACTGAATCTATTTCCACTCACTGAATCGATTTCCGCTCAGTGCAAATATTTATAGGCATGAATATTTTTCATTGTCATCTTTACAAATAAATTGTAGCGTCTGTTTGTAATTTTTGTAATAACAGCTTTTTACATCCGAATATTTCCATTTATGGTACCTTAAGTGATTCGTAACACTAAGTAGGGAGTCCCCTAATTAAAAAATATTTAGTGTGAGCTCTGGTTAACAAGGCATTTATACCAAAAATTGTTTTTTTTTTTTATATCTATCCCTGGAACGGGTAGATCGATTTCAATAAGGAGTAACTTGGCTACTTTTATTTGAAAACATAGAAGTATGCTTAATTACTCATTTTTATATGTAGGTATGTAATAAATCACCTAAAACATGACAGCGGGGAGTCAATTCTGCTATTTTAATATTGTATCAATAGACTGCTGATGGAATGTCGTCGGAATAGTTTTGCATTTTTCCTATTCTACTATGTATGACCAATGCCCTCCCGATGAGTTGTCACTGATACAAATGTCGTCGATGTCTTTATAACAGTTTATAAACGGTACATTTTAAATTCGTATGAAAATGATACATTTAATTTTATAGGTATGGCAATGTTGTTAATATCACTATTGATGACCTATATTACTATATCTACAGTCTATTGAAACTAAGAATTTATGTTAGTAGAATACTGATATTTTGACCGATGTCAATGGTATCTCAATAGCGTGTCAATGGAATGACAGTGGTTTGGCGTTAATATAAAATAGCACAATTGAGGTCCGGTTGTCTGACTTCCATTAATAGTATGTGATGTGTGGTGTCACAATCTTAGTGGAGTCACACACTCAATGTCACACACTTAGTACAATCAAACACTCAGTAGGGCCATGCACTATGCTGCTGATTTAAGTATCTCTTCCTTCTCTTTTTCTTAAACTAGTTCAGCCGTATCGTAGTATGCTTAAAGCTAACCGGCTTGTAAGTATACTACGATACGGCTTCACAACCCAAGTCCTTAGGCGATATTGAAGTTCTGTAGAAAGACTGTTATTGGACATTTTAGGGCTCCCACTACCCGTAATGATTAATAAATAATAATACATTCTACCACAAACACGCAACGCCATCTAGTCCCAAACTAGATAGAGAGCAGAGCTTGTACTATAGGTACTAGACAACTGATATAAATACATATATACTTTTTTTTTGTAAATACATACATATTATACATAGAAACACCCAGACCAAATCAAACATCAAATGTTCATGCACACAAATGTTTAACTTGAGCGGGAATCGAACCCGCGACCTTTGGAATAGCAGTCCGTTACACAAACCACTACGCCATCCAGTCTTCACAGATGTTCATGTGGCAACCGGGACCGCCGGTCTAACGTGCTTAAATATCTTTTTTTTTTAATTGTGTTTGCATGTATGTAACAGTGTGATCCCTCCCGAACTATCTCGAGGGACCGGTGGCGAGGTTCGCGTGAGCTTAGAAGATCGACGTCATGAGGAGTGCCCGCGTAACACCAAGTCTCAACCCTTCACTGGCAAGGGACATCTGCTTGGAAGGTAAGATTGTTATAAATTACTTTCATTAATAGTTGTTTAAGTAAGTTGGGGTCTTAGATCAAGATTCAAGTCATTCAGTTTCTTGGGGAGTTGCAATGGTAGGTGTTCCGTGATGTTAAGAGAGATTCGATACACAACAGATCGCTTTGGTATTTATTTTAGGACATTTTTTCTGTTTGTATATTTAAAGAATATTACAGATTTTAAAGGAACAGCAAATTGAGGATTGTTTAGGTAATAAATTTACTATTTTACTGCCTTGTCAGTCTAGTGGTTAGTAATTTTTACTGTTAAGTCCTTCTAATTTAGCTCTATGTAAACCAGAACAAATTAGTGTGGTGAGTACGATCATTTTTTCTATGCCTGCATGTAATTTATTTACAGTATGTTTTTATTTGTATTTGGCAATATGAAATAATCACTTACTACTAGTACTCTATACAAATATACATATAATGACGCTTGAATCGCTCGACGTTTGGATACCAACCTCGACTGTCTTAATATATATGAATATAAAGTGTATTACGTATAACACAATGTCTCCCCGGTCCCGCAGCCCGACGCCGGTGACAGTGGGTGCGACGCACGCGGAGGCCGTCCCGGAGCGCGCCGCCAACCAGCGCGCCGCGCAGGACCACGTGCGCCTCGACGCCGCGCTGCCCACCACCACCATACAGGTACAGCTCTGCTCGCTCCGACCAGCGCGCCGCGCAGGACCACGTGCGCCTCGACGCCGCGCTGCCCACCACCACCATACAGGTACAGCTCTGCTCGCTCCGACCAGCGCGCCGCGCAGGACCACGTGCGCCTCGACGCCGCACTGCCCACCACCACCATACAGGTACAGCTCTGCTCGCTCCGACCAGCGCGCCGCGCAGGACCACGTGCGCCTCGACGCCGCGCTGCCCACCACCACCATACAGGTACAGCTCTGCTCGCTCCGACCAGCGCGCCGCGCAGGACCACGTGCGCCTCGACGCCGCGCTGCCCACCACCACCATACAGGTACAGCTCTGCTCGCTCCGACCAGCGCGCCGCGCAGGACCACGTGCGCCTCGACGCCGCGCTGCCCACCACCACCATACAGGTACAGCTCTGCTCGCTCCGACCAGCGCGCCGCGCAGGACCACGTGCGCCTCGACGCCGCGCTGCCCACCACCACCATACAGGTACAGCTCTGCTCGCTCCGACCAGCGCGCCGCGCAGGACCACGTGCGCCTCGACGCCGCGCTGCCCACCACCACCATACAGGTACAGCTCTGCTCGCTCCGACCAGCGCGCCGCGCAGGACCACGTGCGCCTCGACGCCGCGCTGCCCACCACCACCATACAGGTACAGCTCTGCTCGCTCCGACCAGCGCGCCGCGCAGGACCACGTGCGCCTCGACGCCGCGCTGCCCACCACCACCATACAGGTACAGCTCTGCTCGCTCCGACCAGCGCGCCGCGCAGGACCACGTGCGCCTCGACGCCGCGCTGCCCACCACCACCATACAGGTACAGCTCTGCTCGCTCCGACCAGCGCGCCGCGCAGGACCACGTGCGCCTCGACGCCGCGCTGCCCACCACCACCATACAGGTACAGCTCTGCTCGCTCCGACCAGCGCGCCGCGCAGGACCACGTGCGCCTCGACGCCGCGCTGCCCACCACCACCATACAGGTACAGCTCTGCTCGCTCCGACCAGCGCGCCGCGCAGGACCACGTGCGCCTCGACGCCGCGCTGCCCACCACCACCATACAGGTACAGCTCTGCTCGCTCCGACCAGCGCGCCGCGCAGGACCACGTGCGCCTCGACGCCGCGCTGCCCACCACCACCATACAGGTACAGCTCTGCTCGCTCCGACCAGCGCGCCGCGCAGGACCACGTGCGCCTCGACGCCGCGCTGCCCACCACCACCATACAGGTACAGCTCTGCTCGCTCCGACCAGCGCGCCGCGCAGGACCACGGGCGCCTCGACGCCCGGGCTGCCCACCACCACCATACAGGTACAGCTCTGCTCGCTCCGACCAGCGCGCCGCGCAGGACCACGTGCGCCTCGACGCCGCGCTGCCCACCACCACCATACAGGTACAGCTCTGCTCGCTCCGACCAGCGCGCCGCGCAGGACCACGTGCGCCTCGACGCCGCACTGCCCACCACCACCATACAGGTACAGCTCTGCTCGCTCCGACCAGCGCGCCGCGCAGGACCACGTGCGCCTCGACGCCGCGCTGCCCACCACCACCATACAGGTACAGCTCTGCTCGCTCCGACCAGCGCGCCGCGCAGGACCACGTGCGCCTCGACGCCGCACTGCCCACCACCACCATACAGGTACAGCTCTGCTCGCTCCGACCAGCGCGCCGCGCAGGACCACGTGCGCCTCGACGCCGCGCTGCCCACCACCACCATACAGGTACAGCTCTGCTCGCTCCGACCAGCGCGCCGCGCAGGACCACGTGCGCCTCGACGCCGCGCTGCCCACCACCACCATACAGGTACAGCTCTGCTCGCTCCGACCAGCGCGCCGCGCAGGACCACGTGCGCCTCGACGCCGCGCTGCCCACCACCACCATACAGGTACAGCTCTGCTCGCTCCGACCAGCGCGCCGCGCAGGACCACGTGCGCCTCGACGCCGCGCTGCCCACCACCACCATACAGGTACAGCTCTGCTCGCTCCGACCAGCGCGCCGCGCAGGACCACGTGCGCCTCGACGCCGCGCTGCCCACCACCACCATACAGGTACAGCTCTGCTCGCTCCGACCAGCGCGCCGCGCAGGACCACGTGCGCCTCCTACCATCTAACGCTGTTACGCCCTTCCGCCCCCCCTCTCCTTACACGACAACATTCCTAGTTTACAGGAAAACGAAAGGAAAAATGTTATACATAGATATCCACGTTTCTTACGTGCTTAATTTAAAATCTCTCATTCCAGTTCCGTTTAGCGGACGGCAGCCGCCTTACCGGTCGCTTCAACCACACCCACACCGTGGCGGACTTGCACGAGTACGTGTCGAGGGCTGAGCCCACGTACCAGCTTCAGGGATTCACACTCTTCACGACGTTCCCCAGCAGTGAACTCAGCGACCCCACGGCCACGCTCGTTCAGGCCGACGTACTCAACTCCACGCTTCTCCAACGGCTAAAATAAAAACTTAATTTGCAGTATTTGTAGACTTCAGTGAGAGTTTTCATTCACAGAATGATATTTTTTTGTTAAAGAAGATTGATGAAATAGAAACAAATGTTATTAATTATAAGAGTTAGTTATCCGTATATTAGTGTCACTCATTCCCTTGTTCAGTGACTACAACATTATTCCTATAACCTATCTACTTAATCCTGGCTATGTAAATAGATTTTATAGTAGGTACACGTTTTTATAAAATTACAGATCAAAGATTCGACATGTATTTCCCTAAGACTACATATTTCACAATTTCCATTATCACTTAAAATATTCTCCTTTTCATAAATCAATCTTGTTTAACAAGAAAATGATTTTTAGCATTTATAAATCAGCTTATTTAGGTTTGTAATTATGTGTTATACATTTTGTTGTTGATGACTCTCACGTGAAGACTTAGCTCAACGCGATCACGCGGAACACAAACAGTGTATCGGTCAATGAATAAAGTTTTTAAGTTCCTTTTTGTGACTTTTATTTCTTCAATCATGATCAGGTTGCGTAGCGAAACAGTGACTACACTTAAGAAAAAGTTAGTATAGTTTAGTATATAAACAAATTCAAGGCGCTTTGGCTATTTTAAATGAAAAAAAAGGTGAGCTTTGGTTATAATATAACCTCTAGTCTCGGTAGGTCGGTTGTTTTGTTCGGGGCCGTACTACTGAGGCTAATTTTGTCTCATAACAGTCAGTCTTGTCTCATAAGAGAAATCCGCCCACCATTTTAAAGGAAATTTAACTTTTTTTACCTGAAGAATTGCCTATACTTATCTAAGCTCAATGAAAAAAACAGGCGAAAAAGCAAAAAAGAAAAAAAACGGATGGTTTTTTTAATATTCTGAAAATGCTATTTCGAGTGGCAATGTGATTGTCATTGTTAAAAAACTTTCAAACGAGATATATCGAAATTTTGCTTTGTATACGAGATGTATCGAAAAAAACAAAATAGTAGGGGGCCCATGTTGCTAAATGGTGATTTACTCGAGCGTCATGGGGACCTATTGCATTTGAAATATTAGGTAATAGTTTGAATAAAAGTTTTAAAATGTTTTCACTTTCAGCGGTGAGAAAAGTTTCTACACAGGGCTGAGTGCGAGCGCGTTTAGAGTTGCGATTGGTGTAGATTTCTGTGCGGACCAATCGTAGCGCCGAACGCTGTCACCGTGACGATCGAGTAGAAGTGAAATAAACTCGCACTTGGCCTTCAGGTTTTCAAACATGTAAGGGAAGGAAATTGAAAAAAAATTCGGAAGCATCAGATATTTTGGGGCTATGTTATTTGGACGACAAAAATGCTCCCATTGAAAGGTCTGACGATTTTAAAGTGACACAAGCTGGTAGCAAAATATCAAAAATGCAAACTGCAAATTAGATTTTATACAGACGGTTCAGCTTGATGTTCCTGTCATACCAGCCAAAAATCTGACTATAATTTTGCAGGGTATTTTACATCGGACGGTTTTAAATATTTAGATTGTTCATAAAATGTGACAAATAAAGGCACGAAAAATTATGTAGACATTTGAATAAGGTTTCTTTCATTGTTTGCTTGAAAATTAAAAAATGTCAAGGTCCTTTTTTTTTTTGGAACTTTGTGACCCTCTCACTGCCTATGTCACGCTCAAATCATCTGATAGTTTTTAAATACACGCTAATGTGTATGTAATTGACTCCACTTACCTTAATCTTACACGCTCGAGTATTTCTGGCCATCAATTTTTTTTTACTAATCTGATGGGCTGCCCTAGACGATTCCCCCATATTTAGGGGTCATGTATGTAGAAGGTACTCAACTGGGTGTAAGGTATTCCTTCTATGTTAATCTGCCACGCTCGAGTAAATCCCTTCTAAAAGGGGTAGTGTTTCACCCCTATCTTCAATTTCCACTCTCTAATTTAATAGCACCCATTGATCGATTCCTGCAATAAAAACCCGTGAACGTTTTAGTTCCTTATTACGCTGTTTTTTAAGCCAATCAACAGTCTAGATGTAAGTTTTCGCATAATTTTAGGTACAGGTAAATTAGCTTGGAGAAATTTTTGCGTTTGTAGTAGTGTATGCGTAAACTGGTTTATTCTGGTTTTGTGCGTGTTTCCACTTTCCACTATCAAGTGACGATTTTTTGCTTTAGATTGAAATATCTCGGAAACGGTGCGTCCTAGGCCAAAAATAACAAAAATTTTGACCCCCCCGTAGACCCCCGGAGTTTTAAAAACCTAGATGAAAGGAAAAAAAAAAGAAAATTAAATATCGGTCTCTCCTCTTTGAAGTTTCACTTCTATCGTGTGTGAATCGCACACATACCTTTTTTTTTATAAAGTCAAAACCTTTTTCTTTAAAATAAAAACTTGTTTTTATTAAAAACAAAAATCAGAGTGTTGCTAGGTCTAAGTATAAAATTAAATAGTAATGTTAGGATATCGAAATATTTTTGTATAGGCCAGAACGATATAGTGGAAACGCGCTCTAAGATCTGAGTAATATACACACCACTACATATGCAAAAATTTCTCGAGACTAATTTCACTGTAAGCATATCGTTAAACACGTAAATGTAAATATGAATTATTTTCGAAAAAAAAATTAGATTTGATATTATTATACGAACATTCTGTTAAATTGTTACATGTGGTTTATCATTAGATAATTATTAAGTATCGGGCAAGGTTTGAAAAGTACGATTGTGGTAATTAATAATACCCTTTAGTTGTAAAATAATTCAATATATCATGTTTTCAATTCAATTCAATTCAATTGATGCATAAATACTGTTTGTGATTTTATTGCCTTCTTTAATTGTGCGTGTTGGAGTTGGTACGCGTTTGACTTTAGTAGCTACGTGTATGACTTTATGCGTGTTTGACTTAGTACCTACGTGTTTAACTTTTGGCTTTATACATGTTTGATTGTGTTTGAAGTTGTGGGTTTTCATTTTATGCTCGTTTGACTTGTAACTGTGATCAGTCTTAAAGCCAGTAAGGGAAAAAACCATAGCTGGCTGAATATTTTGGTATTCAACATTATGGTCCAGTAAATTTCAACATTTTACTGATCTGTTTTAGGATTCAACGTTTTGCGAATTTAACAATTTGAAAACATTTTGTAAAAAAAGGATCATTGAAATCTAGAATTCATACTGGGCGATAGGGGAAATGATCTAACAGGAAGAATGCGAATCATTGACGCTAGTCATAATCGAAATCGCATAATTTAAAACTGCTTTTTTATCGCTCACTGATTAGGTAGTTACTTAGATGGTAAAGATAAAATAAAAGAGAACTGTACAAATAAATATTTATTCAGCACTATTAAAAATCCATACCTAATATAATTTAATACAAATAATAGGTTATATTTAATTTATTTTATTACCTAGTTATTACTCTAAATTATCCATAACACTACTCAACAGCATATCATCTGCTGCTAGTGATATCTATGGTACACTTGACCCAATTTCTTAGCCATAAAGTATTTAGGACGTCAAAGTCCGCTTAACACGTTAGATTTTGAATTGTTGTATCGGCTTCAAGCGCAACACGCCGCTTTAGGAAAATCACAGGCACATGGATCTGTCTTTATGCATTCCGCTGGGCAGGTGCATATGCAAGCTGGAGAAAAAATGTGAATGTTTAATATCACAAGTTCAAAACAATTTGACATTTGGACCAAACGACAATTAGTCAAGACGACACTTGACCAAATGACAGTTGGTCCTAACGACATTTATATGCTAAACGACATTTAGACCAAAAGACATTTAATCCCAAACTACGTTTGGACCAAACGACTTAATTGTCACAAAAATATCTTAATTTAGTTCGAAGTACCGATATGATTTACACTGACACTTTAGAAAAAAAAAATTGATTTATAAATATTCAGCCTTTCATATAATAATGGAAACCACAAAATCATTAGGAAGGAACTTACGTTGACAATCACCATACGTGCAAGGGTCGATGTACTCTGTGCAGTCTTCACCGGGAGGCAGGAACGACGACTTGTAGACCGTTGTGCCTTCCAACTATCGAATATAAAGGGGTTTTTATTATATTTAAAGATTTTGTTTCGTCTAGTGATTAGTGACCCTGACTGCTAAACCGGATGTCGTGGGTTCGATTTCCACCCAGAACAAATGTTTGTGCGATGAGCACGATCGTTATTTCTGTGCATGGGTGTAATTCATCTATGATATGCATGTAGTTAGAAATATACAAGTATGTTTATCAGCAGGCTGGTTACCATAGCACAGGCTCCGCCTAGTTTGGGATCAGACAGATGTGTGAGGTTATTATTGCTATTAATTTTGTATATATATATATATATATATATATATAGTGTAAATAAAGGCATACATGTATGTATGTATGCCTTTATTTACACATTTATTTTAACACTACTGTAGCTTTATTGCACCTAAACTTCCCCCTTGTTCCAACCAACCAAAACCATCCGTGGTTTGCTGATTGTGTTTTATGCCCCACGTTTATAAGGAAAATAGCTTAAAAAGCTTACCCTCGTGGCTGGTTTCTCGTACGGTGCTTTGCATGCCCACGGCGGACGCTGCGGTTGTGGGACACATATTGGCTGGTACGACATCTTCTGTGTTGTCGTACCTTCCATTTTTGCTACAAATGTAAACAATTCATTTTAGGAAAAAATCTTTTAATTAACGCTAAGTTTATACAACTTTCTCCTTCGCTTTTCGAAACTACGTAAGTTTTATTTAAACATTAAAGAGTGCTCTTTTTTGTTATGGTATAGGGAAAGCAAACGAGCAGACTGGGGTCAACTTATGGTAAGCGATTACCATCATGGACACCTGCAACTCAAGTCTTAAGTGGTGCACCCCATTCATAAGGGCGGGGACAGAGGCAGTGTCAATAACTACAGACCCATTTCGGTTTTGACTATATTTTCCAAATTGCTTGAAAATTTTTTGAATAAACGACTTTTAGACTATCTCAATTCAAATAACATACTAGCCAAAAATCAATATGGTTTCAGAGCTGGTAAAAACACTGAAGATGCAGTTTTGTCCTTGTTGGATTTTGTGGCGCAAAACCTTAAAAAAATTATAAGACACTGGCTATCTTTCTTGATCTCTCAAAAGCATTTGACACTGTCTCTGTTCCCCGCCTAATCAAGAAACTGGAATTGGTCGGTGTTCGGGGCCTTGCGCTTGATATTTTCAAGAGTTACCTAAGTAATCGCACTCAAATTGTCAAAATAAATAATTACAGCAGCAAAGAAAAGTTCCTAAATTACGGAGTTACACAGGGTAGTGTGCTTGGACCCACCCTTTTCTTACTATACATCAACGATCTATGTAGGCTCAATCTGCCGAACGCCAATATTATCACTTACGCCGATGATACGGTTATATTGCTGCGAGGCAGTGATTGGAGTGAAGCACGCTTGATTGCTGAATCTGCTTTAAGAACCACGATTGATTGGCTGAATCATAATCGGCTCACTCTCAATTTTAGCAAAACAAAATTTATAACATTTAGCCCAAAACTTTCATCACAACCATCTGCTCTTGAACATTTGACAGCCCATATATGTGGCTCTGCTACGAATAGCGACTGTAATTGTACCACAATCACACGCACTGAGGCAATTAAATATCTTGGCGTTTATATCGACAGTACATTGTCATGGAGTTATCAAATAGACTCGCTAGTATCTAGTGCGCAAGCTCATCCATGTATTTAAGAACTTGAGAAGTTCGGCTGATTTATCTACTCTTTGTACGGTCTACTTTGCGTTGGCCAACTCAATTATTACCTACTGTGTGCCTGCATGGGGAAACACTGGTAAGAGTCTTTTGCTACGTTTAGAGAGAGCTCAGAGGGCAGTGCTCAAGGTCATGACTCGTAAACCTATACGTTTCCCGACCGGTGAATTGTACTCCTTATGCAAGATACCTACAGTGAGGCACTCCTTTCTATTGCACACAATTCTGCGTGAACATGCCGAGTTACCCTTTGACCACGATTTGTACAGGCGTAAACGTCGATCTGACCGGGTATGCCCGCCTCGGACTGCAAGACTAGAAGTTGTTCGTCGTCAATACTCATATTTTGCTCCATTCTTGTACAACAGAGTCAATAGAGTACTTGATATTTATCCATACTCTACCCGTAAATGTAAGAAAGTTACCGACGAATGGTTGGCTGCTTTCACGTATGACGAACTGGAATCGTTGTTGAAGATATAGGGTTACTGAACTTTCACCAGTCCTTCCACTCACACATACTTAAATTAATTGGCATGCGCGAATTACTAAGTTTTATAAGTATGTGTGTAAATACACACATATAGACACACACACAGACATACACACACACACACACCCACACACACATACACACACACACTCACATACTCTTTTTCTTTTTGTTTTGTATAACTTATAATAGTCACTAAGTTATCTTTATTATTCCTGGAGCGCCGTTGTCTGCACCTTTCTGGAGGTGGGCGATAATAGCCACGACACAGTTCATAACTAATGTGGTTATTTTCGAACACAAGCAAATTTGTATACCTACTGTTTCTTGTTCTAATAAAGATTATTATTATTATTATTATTATTATTAAGTGCGTTGCCGCCCTCCCAGTCCCGGTCCCTCTAATAAAGAAATGCTAAACACCGGTTTTCTGCGAGGCCGGTCGAGACTAGCCACACTCGTGCATGACTTTCCCACGATACCCCTTTTTATACTGTGAAGTTATCTACCTACCTATATTTTCTATCTATGAATTTTGACGTAGGCATAGTTTTTTAATGCAGTTACAAACAACAAACCTGAAGGCCGTTCATAGCACTTTTGCGGAGCATAGTTCTCAGGTACTGCACAGGGGCCGGGGTTCAGGAACGACAAGCGGTTGATCGTGCGACCTGCAGTTATAAAATTACTTTTTTAATTCAGTTAGTACTGGTGTATGATGAAAAAAAATATTTTAAAATTGTAGTGTATTTTACAGACGCAACATATTTGTATTTGGAACGTCAACAATATTTACGACAAACTATATTTAGAAGCAATGCATTTTGAATTAAAATCTAAATAAACCTTACATAGCCTAGATATTAACTAAGTGCTAATACATTTTCGAAAAATAAATATTCTAATACGATTATAATTAAAGACAATTATAATTCGGGACCTTTAAAATCCGTCCAGAATACGTTTAACTAAGTATATTAATTTAACTGTGATTGAATTGCGCATTTGAAATATAACCGCTTTAAAAATTTAAAACGTGGAATAGCTGTAAAGTGGACGGTTAATTTCATTATAGTTTTAACCCTATAAAGCATAGGTTCGGAATGTTTGAGCCTCAAAAACTTAAGGTTAAATTATCATTTATCTTCTTATAGTAGAAAAAACTAAACGCCAACTATCTTCTCCCAGAATGCTGAAACATAATCTGTAGTATTACTTCACAATAAAACGGGTATACTGACTTTCAAAGGGCTGATCAACATTGTGGAACTTGGGTGGCGGCTTGAAGCTCTCGCGTATAATGCTGGGCTTCGCGACGTAGTCGTGGCGCTGCGTCGTAATGTTCTGCATGGGACCCTTACCCCACATGTCGTGATGACACGGGTGGATCTTCTGAGTCACGCACACTGGGTTCGGCAAGTACGACAGCTAAGAAAAAGAAAAGGGAAGAATGTAAGATGCAATTTCCTGCATTACCGATCTAGACAAAAAAGACTACGTGGAGTTCTAGAAACTAACTTATTGTAGGAAAGTGATATCATGTGTCTGCATATTTGCCTCCGAAAATTCGCAATCCTTACGAATCATCATCACCATCATTAGCCTATCGCAGTCAGACATAGGCCTCTTCCATTGCAAGCCACTTAGATCGTTTATTCTTCTACCAATAGATAGAGATAAATGTAAATAATAAAAATAATTTTTATAATAATAAACATATGTCTCAGTTTAGCCCTTTTTAAGGCCAATAGACTAAGTTACCTTTTGAACAGTGTCGCCATCCATCTGAGCCGTCGACGGCACTAAGTTTGGACTCGGCTTCGCCGGCTTTGGTATCACAGCTTTAGCTGGTAGGTAGCTGTCAAAGACAAATACAAATACAAAGTTTCAAGCACGCGATGATTCATAGTGCTATAAGTTATTTGGGAGTAAATAGAAAAAAGAAAATTATTAAAATTACGCGGTCTTTTATTTTTATGGTATAGGGAGAATCACAGGTAACTACAAATGTTATTATATGAATCACGTTCATCACTTTCACGTATTATTTCCACTTTGTCAATTAGCAGCAAGCAGTTCTGACACTTCCAGTCAGATAATAGAAAAGACATAGAAACAACGATTTGCTGTAATTTCGTCTCTTTAAAAAAAAAGGTTTTAAATTACTTAGTCACGTAACTTACTCTATGGTTGGTTCATCGTACAGACAAGACTAGTAGGTTTACTTGCTGTAAAAACACTATCTAATTAATTAAAAAGGTTATACATGGGTAAAATAAGTTTTCTAGTGATACATTTTGCACTGAATTATGTTTATTCTTACCTGTTCTTGTACACCGTTTGAGTTTCAAACGCCTTGGAGGACGTTACTGGGTTGATGCAAGACTCTGGCATTATTGCGCGGCGACGACAATCACTTTGCGCATCCAAGTAACTGAAAAATAAAATTATGGGATAAACAAGCACTGAATTTAGAGTTAAAAGTTTGAATCCATCACATCACACATCAACAGTCTTTAATAGTCCACTGTGGACGTCTCCTTATAAATAAAAATAAATATGGCCACTGCTGTGATTCATTTAGATTACAAGACTCCTTTCCTTCGTCGGAGTTGGCAAGAGACAACAGACAGTTCTTCTTTATCCTATCACAACATTCGTCAAAATCTTGATTCCAATAAAAATGACCGAAAAAACAAATCTTTTAAGTTTCGATATCAAAAAAATAACGATAAATAAAAATAGTAGACGACTGGACAGTATTTTAAAAATCCAGTCTGCTGTATTTTAACTTGCTCAGTTTAACCGGCGAAATCGGACACTTTCTAACTGTCAATTTCGTAGAATAAAAAATGCACTAAACTAATGAAAGAAAAGTGGGTAATAACTAAAACGATAGTCGCGTTTCTACACTCAGCAATTTGTTGTTCAATGAGTTTTATAGTGTAAGATGCAAACGAACAGATGGGTCACCTGATAGCCGATCAGGCTAAAGTGACTATCGGGCGCCCATGAATCCTTGCAATTCATGAAAAGAGTGCTTTGTCACCCTTTGAGCGCGCCGTCCTAGAATCAGGCAGAGGTTTCTGGTCTCCAAACGGAGAAAACTTCAACATACATTACAATAAAAACATCAGTTTGCTGATAGGTCGTAGTATTAGTACCGTCGAGCTGCCCCAGGTGTCGAAGCTAGAGCCTCCACGGTTGTTTATTTTTGTTTAAGTTTCCACTAGTTTATTTATTAATAAAGGAATGTCATAAGTACCTCATAGTGTAAGTTGTATTACCATCCAATTTCGTCTCAGGTCTTTGATACGGCTCCTTCGTTGCCCACGGTACCGGCTGTTTGGGCAGAATCTGGAAATTCATATATAGAATGCTCTAAGTGATAAAAGACTAAAAAGACGCTTCTTGGAACAAATATTTTTATTACAAGAATGAAGACCATCCCCTTTTGCCTCTTGGCTTGTGCAATTTGTGAATCACGCAAAGTGCTCAGTAGGCAAGGTAATCGCTTTAAACACTACGCCATCCATGCAGTCCACCATCCGTTGAGTCTGCCCAGGATTTTAAGTTTTATTTTCTACTATACTTAGGTTCGTTGACATCATTTTTCTACTTTAAATGTATGTACTTAGAGTTTGCTTTGGTTTTAATAAGGTAAATTGATTGGCGTAACTCTCACTTAAGAGTAAAGTTTTTCTGTCTCTATAACTTGCGCATTTGGATCCTACCTAGTCTTAGATCATTGATATGTCTAGATAGACTATCAAAGCTGCACTAGCGTTGCATATGAATAGTGTCCAACTGTTGGCTACTAAATTCCTTTACGTTGTCGCAGTGCTGTCGCATAATAAAGTTAGTCTATTTCTTTATAGAACAGGGAGTAAACGAGCAGACGGGTCACCTGATGAAAAGCGACTAGCACCGCTCACAACTCAGGAATCACAAGCTCTTTTCTTGAAGGTTTTGAAGGTCGTATCGGTCCGAAAATACCGCAGACAATTTTAGTTGTTGTGCAATGTGTCACTCCATGTAAACATATAAATGATGTAAGGACCATACACTAGCAAATAAGACACTGTTGGTATGGCGTATACCTGATTAGGCATAAAGCTCATCTTATGAGTAGTAGTACCCTCCATTTTCGCATTCGGACGTTCATAGCATCGATACGGCGCGAAGGACTTCGTAGGTTCCATTCTTTCGGGCGGCAGATACGATAGTTTATTTACTGTGCGATCTGAAATATAATTATTTTGATTATTTGTTTCATAAACAATATTACATTGTGTTGAAATATATTTATCTTTTAATCCTTTAACCGGTCCGTTTCCGTCTTTAAAACTGTTCACTGCCTTTTATCTGTCGTTTTACGGCGGGGCCGAGATATCCCTTTAATTCCCTTTACGGCACGAAAACAATTCTTTAGAAAAGATTCAGATGGCTCTTTAAAGTATTCTGTCACAGTTCTAAATTGTTTGTCTAAATTTAATAGTAACTACAGAAGATTCATGAAATAATACATTATAATAACAAAACAAACAACAATACGAATAAAATAATTTGAATTTTAAATCAATTTGATTTTTGATGAGTATTGGTCGAAATAGACGAATACACGAATGATAAAATAAACAAACAAAAAAATAATTCAATGTAGGTACAAAGCCTCATTGCTATTTCATAATTTATTATTAGTAATAATAATTTAACATTTTACCAAATAATAGTCTGATCCGACAGTAGGCATAGCACTGCTGATAAAAATACATATAAGTATATTATTAAATGCTAAAACAGTTAGTATTTAAGGAATTTACTTTCAAAAGGCTGATCAACGCCCTTGTAGTCAGATGGCGGCTTGAAGCTCTCGCGAATGATGCTTGGCTTTGGCACGTAGTCGTGGCGCTGCGTCGTAATGTTCTGCATGGGACCCTTACCCCACATGTCGTGATGACACGGGTGGATCTTTTGAGTCACACACACTGGGTTCGGCAGGTACGACAACTAAAATACAGGGAAACACGATCTGGTTACTAACTGTTATAAACAACTGAAGAAAGAATTCAAAGGAAGACCCGTCCGCTCGTTTGGTACTATCTGATACAAAATCAATGAAAAGAGTTGAAAGGACCTCTGCCTCTCAAACACGAGAGGAAAGGGACGCGTCTGAACTTCCATCACCTCATTTTAGTCAGGTTTCAATCAATTATAATAATAATAATATTTTCGTTGATGTAACAACGCCGTCTAGTTTCAAACTAAGCAGAGCGAAAAGCAATACGAGCAGTTGATGTGATAGTCTTCATACTTCAAATCAATTTCTTTTCTATGTGACTTTTTGGTTCATTTAAGACACAGTTGGAAATAATTAACTTGACAAACAATAGTAAATAAAAGTATTACGATATTTATTCCTTGCATCTGCCGCAAAATATCATTATTATTCTCCTAAAGAAACAAAGAATACGTTTATTTTCAGAACCATTCTCCCCTAATCCGGGTGAGGAAGAATCTAAGTCAGCAGCCCGCTTGAGACCGAGTTGCAGGTGTCCAAAAAATAAAAAAAATACCTTTTGCACAGTGCAACCTTCCATCGGCTCACTGCTCGGCACGATATTTGCAACAGGTTTACGAAGGTCACCCCTGAGCCCTTTGCAGCCTTCGACTGGCAAAAACGACATCTTGTACGTAGTACCCGACTCGACAGGAGCTTCTGGCTTGCTGTAGCATCGCCTCGGGGCATAAGACGCCGGTATACGCGGTTGTTTGTAACACTGAAACAAACAAGTAACATAATCAGTAAACCCCAGGATTGTACATTATGCCACCAAATGACTACCCCAGTCGTGGTAAACACCCACATTTGCAGACTATATTTTTGTCCAGCTTAGGTTACAGGCACAGATTACCCCCTAATAGATTTAGCATACAGGGCCACAAAGGCGCGCAACACATACTTGCTGTAGCTAGCATACGAAGTGACGCTAAGAATCACGACTTTTACAATGACCAAGCCTATGACCCGTACGCCCGTCCGAGTTCTTGCTAGGTTAAAATAGTTTTATTTCAAAATATATATTAAAGTGAAATGGTAAGGCAAGTCAGCTAAGACATCCAGTTATCAAAAAGATAGCAAAACATTTCATCGTTAAGTAAATTATATTCTTATCACAGTAATCTATTTCAAATGCACTGGAGTTCAACTTATACTGGTGCTTAGTAATAACAATTAAGCACCAGCAATTAACAGTAAATTACAATAGTTGTCTTTGTCTAATGACTGCACGAGTATCTATAGTGTTGTGATTTATAGGTCGATATATGTTTGGTCATCCTTTGATTTTTTTTTATTGAAGTTATTGTTTCGTAGATGTAGTGGCGTATCATTGTGGTACATATTGTTGGTTTCTTAAATGTCCCAAAAGAAAAAGATGTGGATCAACGCAGCTTGTCCAGGGGACAATTGATTTTCTTCTGTCTGATGATGAGTGATTTAAGTTGAGTTGTCCTCTTTTTGCGGTTTTTAAATGGAATATTTAGAAAAAAAATTTTTTTTTACTGTATAACCTACGTTATTTTACTATAGTTTTGATTGTTCAGTATATTTTGTTAAAAATTTGTTAAACTTTATACATAGATATGGAATCCTGACAGTATCGCGACTGGCGAGTGCGGGGTGCTGAGTTCTTGTCTTCAGCTAAACATTTTATACATTAATCGATATTATTTTATTGATTCTATGTTATAGCAATACAACTTTCTTTATATTATAAGTAAATATAAACAAACATATAATGGAAATGTAATTATTTCTAAGATATTACTTCAAATGTTAAAATATGCTCTATTAAATTAAGAAAACTGTCACCAATATTATTTGATTTACTTTTCGGGGAAGATGTAGTGTATAATAAGACATTGTTATAGATCTGCGTGCAATAATATATAATAATGTTCATAGTAACAAACTTCACTCATTATTCAGCATTCAGACGTTTCATTCCTCTCCCAACGCATACCCTTATAACACGCCCCCGCCTCTGTTTCTGCAGAGTTCCTGCAATCTAATCAGTCAAAACTTGTGGTATCCCGTACTCTAGCTCGCTTGCTCTATTTATTTTTTCTTTCATTATTAATCTGCTTCTTTGTCCAGTCTTAAGCGATTACATCCCCAAACAGTCTCCTATGAGTCAACGGCACTAAAAACCCAAAAACCATATGTTATGCTACAAAGATAACTTGTTGTTTTATTTTAAAATACAACAAGGTTGTACTTTGTGCTACAAGCAATCTCATCTCTTGCTTCAATGATTGTTCTAAACATATAACAAGTAACGATATAAAATGAAAAATTAAACTAAAAATGTAAAAAACTTCCGACACTCATCTTGGATTTGAAATTTCTCATAGTGTATAGTATTCTACTAGTAAAATAAGGGATTAACGGTCGTATATAAGTTTGTCATTATCAAAGTTGGAAACACGAAATAAGAAAAAATTACGAGAGCGAAGACGCGGGCAATAGGTAGTATTCAATAAATTAAACAACGTTGTTTCAGTTGTGCTTAGTGCTTTGCAATAAACTTGACACGTGCAGGTGATATCATAAATTTACTTGCACATGTCGGGTGATGATTGTCACGTACACAGGTGAATACACTTTTACATCTATACGTCAATTGTAAAGTAAAATTTGGTTATTCCCCGAAAATAGATTTGCAACTGTAAACGTAGAATTGCAAGTTTTATCAGTTCGATTACTTGAAGAGATTAAAAAAGAGCAAACAGAGATAACCAAAGGTTTTTTTGAATATTGAAAGAGCTGACAAATGTGACTGACAATTGACCGAAAATTATTTACGTAGGCAGCAAACTAATTTTCCAAAATCTAGGCTCCGCGCGCTTCGTCATTTAATTACATTACAGTTTTTGACTGTATGCAGAATTATTATTTTTGGTAAAAAAATCTGTTTACTCATTGCGATATCATTTTTAACTCAAAACAATTGAATATTATAAAAAAAGTTGATAAATTCGCCGGCAGAAAATTCCAATGATTTTCGACTCAGAATGATGGTCTGAATACACTATTTCAGCATTCGTTACACCGCCTTTAACACCCTGTATAACACAAAACAAAAAATACAGTACAATACTATTGTATTAATCAAAAAGGAATCTGTCAACCCGTCATAGTGAGCCAGTCGTGTTTCGGGTCATATACCTAAAAACGAGAGTGGAGAGATCTCTTTAGTTAGAATTTCTAAGACAGCAAAATTTTTGCCAATATACAAACTTTAAAGTTAAATTTACGTACGACAATTAGAAGTACATAGGTTAAAAATGACTGTAGGTATATTAGTAATTTATTAGTTATAATGTCAGTGGTTACAAGAACAACGGCACCTACCGGCTTGACAATGGGTTTCTTGCCGCAGCAGCATGCTCGACACGGGCAACCAGCACACGAGCCATCTGGCTTGACCTCAACAGTCTTGCCAGGTGCCACCGAGCCCTGCGCAGCTGCTGGACATGGTACACAGCACCTGATAGAATATACAACAGAATAAAATGATTACAGACGTGTTTTTAAAAACTCACTCTCAGGTCAATATTATTGCTATCATCGACAGCCTTTACTAGTCCACTGCTGGACATAGGCCTCTCCTTAGAAAGGAGGTTGCTATAGCAAAAGGATATTTATCAGACATGAAATTTTTGTTGAGTTAGTTAAGGCACAGCTCTGTCTAGATCCAACAAACTAAGCTTATACTACATGTTTTAGAACCATACATAGATAAATGAATTGTATTTTTTAGCAATAACATATTATATTTGCATTTGCATAACAACAGCCAGAACAATGCAAATAGTCAATCAAATTCTTACACGTACAAATTTTGTTTTGTATTTGTACAAACGTTGCATTAACGTCGCGCCACAGAGGTCGTCTATAGGACACTATTGACGATTTTTTTTTCTAAAAAGAACTTCATTTAAGTACAGTTGAGAATAAAATCATGTTAATGCAAAATATAATTATTTATAAAAGATTATAATATTTATTACGAAAAGTTATATTTATTATAATTTGCGAATAATATTAATTAACCAATAATTCTTATGATGAAATAATAATAATTTAGCGTAATTTCTCCAAGTATAATCTAACATCAATGTTGCCAGTCACTAGGTGCATTTGTATATAATTCAGGAATTTTGCAGATCATGTCTAAGCCATCATCTGCAATTAACGAGTGTCTTCAAATATTTTAGTAACAGATCTGATAGGTTGTATGGCAAAATCTTTTTTACATTGTTATTTTATAAATATTTTTTAGGACATCTAACACACAACGCCATCTAGTTTCAAACTAAGCAAAGCTTATACTATAAAAACTAGATTGACTGATAGAATACTTTTTTTTTTGTAAATACATACATATTATACGAGTACATAGAAAATACTAAATCCCCCAAAATAATTATTTGCAGATCATACAAACATTTGGGTCGACCTGGGAATCGAACCCGAGACCTCAGCACAGTAGTCGCATACGCTACCGATGCAGTTAAAGGATGTTGATAATGATGACTGTTTGTACCAGCTTCTGCGTAAGATTTTGGTCTTGGTGAAAATAATATATATTTTTTAATGTACACTACCTCTTTCCTAAGGAGAAGCCTATTTCCAGCAGTGGACTGTTAAAGGCTGTTGATGATGAATGTACACTAGTACTTTTGATGAATCTCTGTACGTTTTTTCATTCTTGTATCAGAGTCTATTGCTATACAATCACAATTTCATAAATCAGACTTAAAAGCGAAAAATTTAAACAACAAAAAACATACACTTTTTAATATCAGTTAGATAATATTTACCTACAAAATAAATATCTGCTATCTTATAATGTCACCTCACTTTGTATTTCCAACTGTTAATTTTAGTCGGTTGTGAACTTCGATAAGTGACAGACGTTTTCCAATAATCCAATTTTTGCTTAAAAAAAAAGAAATTTTTGTACGCAGTGTATTTAGTGGTAAGACTATTGGTACTTTTTAAAATTTAGGTTAACCAGCTGTGGTTTTGACCAAATGATTATTTGGCAAATGGCAAATGAGTTTAGTTAAAGTTGTGATTTTAGAATGAAAAATGATGTTGTTAAAAATTTTCAATGACTTAATTCTATGTGGCTTTGGTATACCATAGAGTTGTAAGATATGCAGTTTATTTTGTTTCCATTCCTTAAATACAGGATTGCTGATATATAATTATTCATACAGCTAGTACTAAAAAGATAGTTTTTTTATTAAAATTTAAAAGAAATAGAGCACGAAATCTGTCCACCAATTCTTAAGTTATGCATTTGCCAGAGAACATTAGCTATTCCATTTTTATCTAAATATATTTAATCTTTTTATCTTTGTTTATTTATTTATAGTACATTATTGTTTATAGTATAGGTAGGGTATATATCATGTATTACAGTTACTAGATAAGATATAATATTAATATACATATTATACCTTTATATATAGTAATAATTATTAACACTTAAAATAAATTTTGTATAACTACTGGTGATAGTGAGTGATTCGAGGTAACGACCTGCTGCTATACTAATAAATTTACTTTCAATGCAATTATATTAATTTTTTCACAACATTTCGAACATCTGACACACAACGCCAGCTCGTTTCAAACTAAACAGAGCGTGTTCTATGAAAGCTAGATTGATTGATAGAATACTTACACTTTTTTTTTGTAAATACATATAGGGGAGAGTAACCAATATTGAACCGGCGCTTAAATTGAATTACTTATGTATTTATATCAAAATGGCACTATTTTTTTACACTAGCAACACACAAAGGAACGCTAGCAGCGCCACTAATACTGCGCTATTTTGTAGCGCTCCTTCTTGTGCCAATGTTCTCTAACAAATAGTGCCATTTTGGTAGAAATACAGAAGATGTACAATTTAAGCGCCGGTTCAATATTAGTTACTCTCCTACATAGAACCCTAGACCTCAGCAAGCAGTCGCATACGCTACCACTGCAACACCGAGGCAACGATTAAATATATCTAAGCTAGGATCGAAGATTAAGATGTTAATTAATTGCGCATGATAAGGGTGATAAAATGAAATATACTCGTAATCATTGACTTTTAATACGCCACTGTCAAGAAAACCTTATGCGAGTTCAAAAGTGTATTGTTAAATAATGGCACCCTGGGCACAATATTTTGTGCTCCCATTTTGTTGAATAATAAAGCTATACATAACAATAAGTAGAACATTTTGTGAGTTATAAATGTTGCGTAGAGTCTTGAAAGCATCTCCAGTAGATTTAGATAATAGTTTTATGTTTAGAAACTTAAATTAGTTCATTAAATGTCTAGATGGAGTGTCGCTCTACAAAACAGTTAAAGCAAACTAGTAAAGTTTATCATACTGGTGTGCGTGACAGCTATGTTATACATCCGCTAAACGCGTTGCCAACTATTTAGCTTACACTTAACACACACACCACACAGTGGTAAGGAACTTTGTGGCGCTTACCGTTAGTAACGTTTTTAGAGGGTTGACAGTCTATCTAGACAATCCAATGGTCTAAGCTGGAATATATTAAACTGTTTTAATGTAGGCCTCCAAGAGATTCTCGAAATTCCGATAGTATGACAGCTAATTATAACTAGTTTGTGCCATGTAGGTAAGGTAAAATTTTAAACAGACTAGAGCCGCCCGAGCACCTGGCTTCAGGCCCTAGAGTAAATACCTATCGCCTCTGTGCTAACTCGATGCTTAAGTGTCTTATGTACAATTCAGACAATAGTCAGCGTTACTAAATAACGCTTTTTCTCTTAGCAAAACTTGCCAATAAATTTAACTATTCCCATACGATATATTTATATCCAGTTCAAGATAAATAGATAAATAAGTTCAAGATAAATACTTACTCCGGCATAATTTTGTTGTAATCCTTATACTAGAGTACTGAAAAAAATCTAAATAAAAATTAAAATACTATGTAAATTAACTGAAAATAATTTTATAAAAACATTTCAGTCTAAAATGTAGATCAAAAAGTGACAAGATGGGAACATTGGTATTTCATTTTTTTGAGGCCCACGAGTTGCCTTTTTCTTTATTCAAAAACTTATGAAAACTACTCGAAAAGGTTCTATTATTTCTACACATTCTCTATGTATCAGTGGCAATTGTTGTAATGATAAAAATGTACACATCTTTAACATAACAACTAATAATTATGTTTTATAAATAACTTTGTCATTGAAAAAAAAAAAGATAATCACCTCAACGAATTGAATATTTAATTGGAACGGGTTTAATCCAGGAATTACACAATAAGTAATAAAGTTTTTTTTATGGTATAAGGGGGCAAACGAGCAGACGGGTCACCTGACGGTAAGCAACTACCGCCGCCCATGGACACCTGCAACTGAAAAGTCACAAGTGCGTTGCTGCTTTTAAAGTCCCTTCCGCAAGTCAACAGATTTGTATCGTAATAATAATAAATAATAATAAATTTCATTAATATTCAATGGATCAGCACATAACATTGTTATTAATTAAAATAAATGTTTTTTTAAGAACTCGGATGACGAATGAATACTTGATTATGTATTTATGGTAAAAAGTGTCAAATTTATAATTGAATAAAAAATATATTTGATATATACCTATGTATATATCAAATATATTTTTCATTCATTTTTGTCACCACACGGATCATGGATCTATCCGTGATCCGTGTGGTGACGGATTAAGAATACAGTGTCACTACTCTATTCATCCCGTGGGTGTCGTAAGAGCCGACTAAGGGAGTAAACTACGCAGGAGGGTAGCACTGCAAAGAGAAGTAAAACTTGAAACAAACCCTATACCAACCCGTCTGGCCAGCGTGGTATAGTAGGCCAAAACCTCCTTTCTAAGGAGAGGCCTATGTCCAGCAGTGGACTATTAAAGGCTGATGATGATGATGTGATACATAGATCCCACAATAATGATATAATAAATAAAAATACCAGTGTCTATGCAAAAATTACAACACGCTGATAAAGGCTTGTACCATATCCGAAAAGTTTAATATTATTTATGACTAGCTGGTACCCGCGACTTCGTTCGCATGAGATTTAAAACCGCTGCCTTAGTAGGTGCTAGGTAGTACGCTGGTGTAGTACGGTACGCGGCTGCAATCCATGAGGCCTCGGGTTCAATTTTACTAACCGACCGGCAAATATTTTACTAACTTATACTTTGACCTGGATGTATTGCTAACATTGCTATTCTCTTGGTGTATCTATATACTTGTACATAGATATCTAAAGTCACATAAAACACGATTATTTGGTTCGTGTTTAAGTGTAATTTATCTATAAAACCCCTTTTAACAAAAAAAATTTGAACCAACTTCAAACAATACTAATAAAGAGCACTTAAAACCTAACAGCAATGACGGTTGATTTGCTGTCAAGTCCGTTCCGTAGTCTCATTGAATTTAGATAGATAGATAGATAGATAACTCTTTATTTGCACACTAAATTACAGAGTTTCAAGAAAGGAACACAACGATCAAATATCGAGTGTACAAAGGGCGGCCTTATTGCTAAATGCAATTTCTTCCAGGCAACCTTAGGATGGATCAAAAGTTGCAGAGAGACAGTAGTAGTTGAATTGTTGTGAACCTGCTATTTGTTTACTATTATCCACTATACATATTACATATACTACACATATCATATCATCTACAAACATTTACAAATTTTTTATACTTACATCTACAATGCATATCACAATAAATAAACCTACATATATATAAGTACCCACATACTATACCAGCAGATATACATATACACATACATATATATACGCATTCTTAAATGAATAAACATATAGAAAAGAGAAACAGTTTCGTTACACCCTCAAGCGTGATGGACTCTTAAGGTGAATAAAATTCCTGTACCATTTTCTTGAATCTATTTAATGTTTGCGCCTGCCTGATGTTAAGCGGCAGTGCATTCCACAAGCGCACAGCTTCAACAGTGAAGGATTGGTCATAAAATTTGGTGGAATGCAGTGGCATCTCCAGTTGTAAACTTACGGATGACCGCAGACATTTTTCGTGTGTGTCATTAAGGAACTTGAATCGTTCTTTGAGGTAGAAAGGGGTTTTGGGATTAAACAAAATGTTGTAAAGGAAAATAAGGATATGAGTATTCCGGCGAGAGCGAATTGGAAGCCACTTGAGCATTTGACGGAATTCAGAGACGTGATCGTATTTTCGTAAACCAAATACGAATCGTATACACATATTTTGTAGTCGCTCAAGCTTATCGAGTTGTGCTTCAGTGAGATTCAGATAGCTGACATCGGCATAGTCGAGAATTGGGAGGAGAAGTGCTTGTGCAAGCGCAACCCTAGTTGCAGTTGGAAGGAATTTGCGTAGTCTTCGAAGAGAACCGGCTGAAGCAAATATCCTACGACTGACCTCTTGCATCTGTGGACCCCATGACAAAGTGTTGTCTATGTAGATCCCTAAATTTTTTACAGTAGTGCTTATCTCAAGAGTTGTGCCACCGAACTGAATTTGGGGCAGTAGAGTCCAGTTAACTTTTGAGATCAGCCTGGGGCTGCCGATAACACACACCTGTGTCTTCTTAGGATTAATCATAAGTCCATAGTTATAACTCCACTCGCCAATGCGTTGAAGGTCAGCGTTAATTATGTTGAATGCATCCGATAACATGTTAATCGGAGCTTGTGTATATATTTGCAAATCATCTGCATAAAGGTGGTAGAAGGAACTTAGTTGATTAGAGATTGAGTTTATAAAAACAGCGAAGAGTAAAGGAGATAGAACGCCACCCTGCGGTACACCAGCAGAAATACTGCACCAAGAGGACATGGAGTCATCAATGCAAATCCGTTGCCGGCGACCAAACAGGTAACTTTGAAACCAATCAATTGTCCTTGGAGATATGTTAAGAGACCGTAGTATGCCAAGCAGAATGTG